TGCAGAACAAATTCCCTGTCATGCCCAGGTTGTTTTTCATCTCGCACATCCCCGGACTCATCACGGGCCATATGAAATAAGCCGACAGCTTATTCTCTGTAAGCACACGGGCCATGGCAGGGCTCTGTTAGCTAGCTAAGCTAGAAGGAAGTCTCCACGAGTTTTTGTAAAGCACGTCCTTTCCGCTGGGCAGCCACTAGAGAGCAATGTAGTTACATCCCAATCCAGCGAACGTGTAATTTATTTCCCTTCCTACGTTTAACTCCCGCCAATCTTCAAGCCTCTCCTTTGCGTGAGAACTCAAACCAAATCGCAGACTAAACCTATAGAAAAAATCGCTGCAGGACCTTCTTACAGACAAGGGACTAAGCACCGGACAGAGCAGGGATTTTTTTTTCCCCCAAAAGTCCTTAAATGTCCCAGAGAAAGTTCGCTCCTCAGTTTCTATTGCCTTGGCTTTGGTGCAGTTACTGGTACCTCTCCAAGACCAGTGAAAACACTACCAAAGCACAGTTCTCCAGCTGCACTTGCAACAGTTTTCACCCCAGGATTTTATTTTGGCTCTCTTCAACTTATTTATGCTGGTGCTGTAGAGAGAACTTAGTGTGAAATAGTGGATTTTCTCCAGAGGCAGTACTCCTGGACTGCACTAGGCTTCAAGTAGAAAAAGTCCAGCCTAAAGCAGAAAGCAAATTTGATGTCACAGCCTTGGGAAGGTGAAGCATTTGGAAAAGCACAGCCAAGCCCCTGGCACCACAGCCATCCTTATCTCCAGGGACGTTTTGTATTTGATAAAGAAGTGGTGTTCAAGCTCCAACTCATACTCAGGGCTGAAATGAATACCAAGAGGTATCAGAAGAGAAGCAATACGTAAATGGCTAAGCAGTGATTTAGCTACACATGCCCAGATAGTTATTAGACTGTCTCTGGTATCCACGCTGTTGTTACCAAGTCATGGAACTGATTTACACCACTACCATGTAGTCCAGACCTGGCAGGCAGTACCTGCTGCTCTCTCATTGTTCCCATGCACACCATAGTCTCTGTACCTAGCTTAGTCTTCCTTATGTCGTGTACGGGTTGAGCAGCACAGGAGTTGAGCACACCAGCTTTGATCAGTTTTTGCCTGCAAAAAGGTCTGGTTTCTGAACCTTCGAGGTCCAGGCCCTTTCCTTCCTGTTTCAGTCAAATGTGCCATATATGTGACCCAGTCATGTTACAAAAATATTAACTGAAAATCAGATTATACAGGACAAAGGCATTTCACAGCCAGCGCTTTCGCTAGAAGACAGCACATTACTGAGGGCTGAAATGGAAGAAAATTCAGCATGTTCGATCTTCTGTGGAAAAAAAAAAATCAACATGAATCGTAGTAAAAATTATTTATTTCCTTCCAAAATGCCTCATTTCTTCCCGAGTTCTTACAGATTCATGCATCAAACAACAAATTTGGTAACAGCATGTCAGCCACAAACTACCTTTACTATCAAATCTCTGCTTCTTTTTTTAAGGGAAGGAAGCCACCCTGCTGATGCAAAGCTTGAACAAGCTGAATACTCCAGAGGAGAAGCTGGACCTGTTATTTAAGAAGTATGCTGAACTGGTTAGTACAGCATTGGTTCTCTTCTGTGCAAACTGTCTATATGGAAAGGTATAAAAAACATATGCTGGGCAGCATGGTCGAACCTCATGTAGTAGTAGTGCCTGTCCTGTTAAGTGAACTCTAAACTAATCGGGGTTAAATAATCAATTACGGGTGAGATGGAGTAAAAAAGTAAAAAGTGAGGAAAACAAGCAGGACCTAGAGTTAAATAGTGGATGAGGCAGAATATTTGTACTTAAAGATGAAGCTACCAAACCAACCCACACTGGAGACTAGTGTCTAGGCTCCTGTCTTCGCCTTTGGCAAGGAATTTTGCATATCTCTGTATGCAGGTGTTGCTTTAAATTACGTATCAGTGATTTAATCAAAATGGAAACAATACAGGGCTTAGTATAAAATGTTAGGAAGCAGAAAATCAAAAGATAGAGAACTGAGGCTAATCAGGAGAGAAGCCACAACATAATGAAATGAAGAGTCAAAGCCCATGCCACCATCATGTCACTTCTGTAACAATGCCAGCTACCTGACTCTGTTCTTTCCACACTTCAGATGGGTTAATTTCAGATCAAGTATTTTCTTCTAAGTAGTTAAAGGGCTCTATGGCCATAAGCTGTGGAAACCTTATAAATGAAATGGCTGCAGCATTTTACAGTTTGTGGAGTACTGAAAAATGTGCCAAGCAGAACATTGACTTTATAATTGGTTTTATGCACAGATGTGTCCATGTCTCATCCTAATGTGAAGTTCAACTTTTCTCTTTTTTCATGTAAAATTCTCTGATTTCATAAATTTGGCTCAGGCAGTTTGTGGTCTAGTCCTTGCTGAAAGGGACTTCATGCCCATGGATTACCTGAAATAGCTCTTCTTCTATAAAGTATTCTCCACTGCATTCAAACATCACTGGAGCACTGTATAAAACAGAGGCTGTATTGCCAGTAAGCCATGCAGAGGAAAAGTGCTAAAACATAAATTCAGAGCATTCGTTTTTGACATTCTGTGCAATGTCATTAAAATAAATCATTTCATAAATAAGACTAAAAGCTTATTGGAGGAAGCCTTACACTGCTCACTCAGCATGGCTGAGGGGTGTAGTGTGATTAATACCTTGTCAGCAGCTGGCTGTAGTAGATACCGCTCTCTCTACTCCCTCTTGTCCATCCCCATCACACACTTCAGGCCACTTTTTGCTTCTGCTGAGTTGTTTGCCAGCCAGATCAGCTCCCTGGTCCAGTGAACCATGTGGTGACACGAAAACTTGTTGCAGCCCAACGCAGGGGATGGTGCAGCCACGTGCCAGGCTGAGCTGGGTGCTGGCAATGGCTTTGGCTGCCTTCGATAGTGCTGCTGCTGCCTGTACTCAGGTACCCTACACACCACAGCCACCCAGCTATATGCTATTTAACTGTTAGCACATGCCCTGGCACAGGCCAGAGTGATGGGTACACCAGGAAATGGAAGGCATCAGGGAAGAGCATGGGCTAGTGTGAAGGAAGTCATGCCTGCTGGAGGAAGACAGCATAGCCATTTGGGCACAAGCCATGCCACACTACTCACCATCAGAGAACATTTTGTTCACTAATACTGGTGCAGGCAGAGAGGTTGGGTTAGTAAAGCAGACTGTGCTTTACTTCAGCTTTTGCCCACAAACGTCTGATGCAGAATTGCTCATGACCGGTTTACTTTCAGAGGTCCTGAGGGCAAGAAGTACACACTAATAAATAAATATGAGTGCTCTCATTGTCTGCAGTGAGGTCAAGATAAAACTTTTTTCCTAAATTGAGAGTTTATCTCTCGAGGTCGGCCTTCCAAAATCAGAATTCCTTGTACTTGTAGTTAATTTACCTGATATTTCATCAATTATTCTTAAAAGATTATCATTGTCATCCCTTTTGCCATTCTTATTTACCAGTGAATTCCTTTCTTCAATGCAAAAGTAACACCATGTCTCAGACATTCCTGAGAGCTTTGAAATACAAGTCCTTTTTATGGAAAAAAAAAAAAAAAGCTTGGAAGATTTCTCCTATGACAATTAAGACCTATTTTATTCTAAGCCCCCTATCTCAAGCACAGCTTGAGTGAATCATCTAAAATTTGGATAAATCATTATCCACTCAGCACAGACTATGCATTCAAAATGTGAGGCGAAAAGAACCTATTTTGTGTTTTTAAAAGGGAAAGGGAAGGGACCAAAATCAAGCTTATAAAGGAAAACAAAGCTCAGCCTTAATTATAGAGAGGCTATTTTTTCC